TTTTATATAGATAACTTCTACTGCAAAGCTTATTTCACAACCGGTTCAAATCGTGTGTGTCTGGATTAAAATTCAAAAAAGTAAGAAAAAATACAAAGAGAAGCCTATTCCGTACTTTTTACGCTATGTTTATGGTAAATTTTTGTTCTCTAAAATTTAATGGGGCAAATTAGGATAGTAGTTTCTATACTTTAGTCTTTATATTATTTTGTTCTCTGTAAATTTAATTAGTTTAATTTTAATTTTAATTCTAAATTTATAATTTTGTGTTAATTTAAATTAATTGATTAAACTATTAGTATTTTATGATGAAAAATGTACACATGAATGACACATATTGTGTAAGTAAAATTATATACTTAGCCTCTGTTTGGGAAGTGGGTTGGCTTTTTGGCTTTTTGGCTATTTTAGCCTGGGTTATTTTAGCCTGATTTGGGAAGGACTTTTTGACTTTTTAACTTTTTTGACTTTTTTTGTGAGAGAGGATTGTAATGATTATGGGTTGGATTTAATGTTTTGTTTTTTGTGGCTAAAATAGCCTATTTTGTTTTTTGTGACTATTTTAGCCAAAAAAGCCTGGGCTTTTTCTTGCCAAACGGAGGATTAAGATTTGATAATTAGTTTAATTTTAATTTTAATTTTAAATTTATAATTTTGTGTTAATTTAAATTAATTGATTAAACTATTAGTATTTTATGATGAAAAATGTAAACATGAATGACACATATTGTGTAAGTAAAATTATATACTTATTCAACTCAGTTAGTTAGTTTCAACAAATTTGATAACTATTTTCTTTCAAAACCTTAATTGGCATTATTAATTGAATTAAAATGACATAAAATCTAAAATTAAGGGACAAAATTTAGCTAATTAAAATTACAAAAACTAAAATGACACAATAAATAAAGTGCAAGGACTATCAATGTAATTTGTCTAATTTAATATAACTTTTACTTGTAACAATAATTTAAATAAATTTTAAAACAACTATTATTATTACAAAATAAGAAAAAAGGGGCTTTTAATTTTTAAAGAATTACACCAAATAGACCCACAGAGTTACGTTCTATTTTGGTTAGGTAAAATCTCTTGTTATTGTTAAGAAAGTGAGCACTAGTTTGGCATAATGGGTTGCGGTGGGTTGAGATTAAAATAGTCACAAAAAGACAACAAATGTTTATTTGGTATCACTTAAAAAAGACAAAAAGACAAAAAATACTAAAAAAATATTAAAAAATTATACTATTCACAATGTTTGGGCAGAGATATGGAAAATTCTATTTCCACACACCTAATTAACTCAGAGCACACATGTAATGAAATATTAATTTAATGAAAATTATATCCTAAATAAAAATGATCATAATAGATATCCAACAACACCCATAATATTATATATAAAAATTCTCTGTACACATCTTTTAAGAACAAAAAAATCTTAATATACACCTTTTGAGTTTTTAAAAAAAAAAAAAACCCTAATTTTTCATTGTTTGCTTTACTCTCTAAGCTTATTCTCCATGATTATATTGTTTTGTCATTAAAATCTATCATAATTTTGATTTTTGTGATGGCAGAGTTGCAAATCAATGAAAATTCAAATTTAAGGAACAAGCATCGTTTGGCAAGAGGCTATTTTAGTCAATTAGTCAAAAAGTTACTAAATTAGCCAAAAAGTCAACAACCCATACCAAAAAGTCAAAGATTCTCTTTTCTCTCTACTTTTTGCACATCTTTTCGTAATTAGCCAAAAAGTTATCCCAAACATACAAGTTTTTTTTACTTACCTTTTTAGCCAAATAGCCAAAAAGTTACTAAATTAGCCTATTCCCAAACGAGGCCAAGAGATAGAGAAAGCCTTTGGGCTTGGTGATTAGTCTCATTTGATACCCCAAGAAGATCCATTAAATGTCTACTCTGGTTGATAGTAGATTCCTCTGCCATTGGAGTACCTTGGACAAGGTCTAGTGATCTAGAAATTCTTTCACCAAGAAACTGAATGCTAGACAACACACCATGTGATTGATGGTAAGTCCCACCACCTCTCAAATCGGTTCTATAAGCGTCGAAATGTTGGTTTTTGAATTGGGTTTGATTGGCAATGGAGTCTGAGATGATGAATTGGTGAAGAATGCTTGAAGCTGGATCGGGAGGCGAGTCCCGTGAAGCCATTTTACTAGTATAGTGCCAAATATATATATATATATATATATATAATAAAAAAATAAAAAAATTGAATCTTGATCTATGATTGATTAGTGGACCACAAAAATGGGTATTTTGGGCCAGTGAACGAAGGGCATCAAAAGAACAAGAAGAGATTGTTGAAAATCAAAGTTTCGGTATACAAATTAATGCAAGAGACTGCTGATGAACAATATCCAGAAACTGTAATCTACAAATAAACACTGAGAGAACTAACCTTTTAGGTATGGAAAATGAGTGAGAGCACTAATTAGTGCTATCACTAATGATGTGGCAGTAGATCCCACCATGAATGATTTGATGTTTTGGCTTTGGTGTTGTATTTTTTTTCTTTTTTTATTGAGTGCCATGTCATTAGTGGTCTTTTAGAACTCCAAAATTAGTAGTCTCTATGATTGTTGTTTAGGTATTTATTGTTGTTTGTGTTTTTAAGGTGGGTGGAATAAAAAATAGTTTTATACCATTGATTCTCTATGAAACAAATGGTTTAAGAGGTGTGTATAAAAGGATGTTAGTTTAGGATATAATTGAAACATGTGAGGTGTGGATTGAGAAGAAAAACATAAAACCAATTCATAAGAGTGTGCATTGAGAAATTATGTACACATAGATAAAAAAGTGTGTGGAAATAGAATTTTCCTAGGAATATGGGGCTGAGTACTTAGAGGACAAAAAGACATTTTTGCCTTTCACTGGCATGCATAGCTCATGGGTGTTTAAGAAGAAAAAAAAACTAAAGGTCAAACACAAAAGCAGTGCAGCTCAGTGCACTATCTCGGGAAGTGACAACTTCACTGACATGCACAGAAAGCATGTTAGTGCTCAGAAGGGTAGGAAGATAATTTTGGTATTTCATACAATATTTTAATACATTATTTTTCGTAAAAACTCAAAAAGTTATCTCAAACAACCATATTTTTTTCGAGTCCTGCTGGAGACCCCAGCAGGAGAGGACCCCCAGCACCCCTACCTCCACGTGGGGGGCTGCCAATGGAGGAAAACAAGAAAATAAAATAAAATAAAATAAAATAAAAAAATAAAAAACAGTTTTTTGGAACAATGGTAAGAGACCCCAGGACCCCCACTGGGGTCTCATGCATTTTTTATTTTTTTCTCTACTTTTTTAGTTAAAAAGTGCACTTATATAGTTTATTCCAAACAACCTTTTTAAATTTTTTTGTTTAATAAGATAAAATGTCACATTTAAACCATAATTATTTTATTTTTTTATCACAAAAGTTAAAAAAGTCCAAAAAACTCGTCACAAATGAGACTTTTTAACCCAAGCTAAAATAGTCAAATAAAAGTTAAAAAGTTAACTCACATCCCAAACAAATCTTGAGAAGTCTCAAAATACTGTCTCTGTCTCTAATAGTGAGGTAAAATTATTTTTATAATTTAACATATTATTATCAATTGTGCTATATTTAAGAGTTTTTTTTAATATTCTAAAAAAAAAAAACTATTTAGAGAATTGACCCACTTTTCAAAATATTTGGGAAACTAACCTATTTTTGAAATCACATTTTGAAAATGTGATTTTAAAATCGCATGTTAAAAATGCAATTTCAATTTCAAAATCGCATTTGTAAAATACGATTTCAAAAAGTAGGTTAGTTTCTCAAATAGTTTGAAAAGTGTGTCAATTCTCTAAATAGTTTTTTTTTTTTATATAGAATATTTAAAAAAAAAAACTCTATATTTAACGCAAGGACTATTTCCCATATAAAAAAAAAACACACACACACACACAAGGACTAGTTACAGATAAATTGTCAACTCATCAGATAAACAGAAATGATAATAACTAATCGTGAAGAAAGGTAGAAAATCACAATTTAATAGTTGTAATTCAAACAAATATATATATATATATATATAAAGACATTATTAAAGCAATGTTGTTTTTTTTTAGATTGGAAAGAAAATCTTTATCGCAAAACCGATAAAAAATTAGATCAACTTTGTATAGCAGTAACAAAAGATCTCATAAAGAGATAACAAACTTCCGTAGAATGAATAATCCCAGTCTCTGTAGAAGAGGAGAAAAAACCCTCACAAAAGAGTGACATAACCTCCACACAAGCCGAATTATTATAGCAAACAATTAAACAAATGAAAAGGTAAATAAAAAACAATCAGATCCAAGTCGCGAAATGCATCCAAATGTAGTTAAATTATAGTAATTCGTCACAATAGTTCAAGGTTTAACAAATGAACTGTTGGAAATGCCAGTAATTAGATTTGGGGTCAATTAATATTTACCAAATCGAGCGCGACTATTTTAGCAAACCAAGCTTGAACGATCCAAAACTCACTCAACTCCGCTCGTTAGCAAACCAAGCTTATACTGACTTTTCTTCTAAGTTCTCTATAATTATAAGGAGCTTCCTTATAATTTGTTAAATTATACTACTCTTTCTTATGTTCGTTAACAATATTCACTTATTTCCTTCCCAAACCGTCACAAGCTAACCTATAAAAAAATGTTTTTCCACCATTGGGTTCTTCAATAACTAGAAATAGTTGTGGGAAAGTGCTATATCATTGTGCTACTCAATTAGTGAATCAAGTGGACTCTAAAGCATATTACTGTTCAATCCACCAATTGGATCATAAAATGATCAAAACAAACAGAGCCTTTACATAATCTGAAAACTGAAATATAAAATTCTTATCACAGTAATCTAATTCTCAAAAGGACTTCATTAATAAAATAAATAATTCTTTTATTTTATTGATAGGAACATGAACTGAAAGAATGTATTACAATCCTACATAAACAAATCAAATGAAACAATCTCGTATAGACTTACTTATTATCTATATATGCACATTAACAAATGAAATTATAACAAGCCTAATAAAACAAAAATTTGTCAACTACCCAAACCGCCCTCTTCCTTCTACTAATCATTTAAGAAATTTCTTTAATCGGTTTTTGATGAATCTTTAATCCCCTCAAGCTGTTGAAGAACTTGCTCAGCCTCTGGGCGTGCTGATGGAGAGGGATCGACACAATGCAGAGCTAATTTCAATGTATTGAGCAACTCATCATCGCCAGAATTGGACCCGTCTCTCATTAACTCAACGTCAAACACTTCATTAGTCCACTCTTCTTTCACAATCGAAGCCACCCACTGAGGTAAATCTCCACCATCTGTTGCTTCACTTGGGGATTTTCCAGTCAAGAGCTCCAATATGATCACTCCGAGGCTGTAGACATCGGTCTTTGTGTTGGCATTTTTGAGTTTTGAGAGCTCTGGGGCATTGTACCCAAGAGAACCAGCAGTGGCAAGCGCATTGGTGTTGGCTGCATTGGTCATGAGGCGAGAGAGGCCAACATCTGCAATTTTTGGATTTGTTTCATCGAGTAGTACATTACTCGATGTGAGGTTTCCATGCATTATGTTCTCTTGGGTGTGCAGGTAGTGTAGTCCTCGTGTGATGCCCATTGCTATGTTCATCCTTGTGGGCCATGGTACTGTGGTTTCAGGCCCTCGAGCTGCATATATACAACACAGATATCAAAACTTCTATATAATGGTTTAAAATTTAAAATAAGGGAGTAAAACGGATTGTATGGTGGTTCAAACAATCAAGGAAAAGGTATTTAATAATAATAATAATAATAAAGTGAAATGTATGATGGTCCAAACACTCAAACAAAAGGTATCCAAAGGCTTTAGGCCCCTTGACAAAGTTTAGAACACCAATTTTGAACTTCAATAATGGTTCAAAATTTTAAAAGAGAAACTAAACAGATTCTATGATGGTTTTCAAACAACCAAGCAAAAGGTATCCATGGTTTTGGGGCCCTTGAGAAAGTATTTTAGAACACACATATCAAACTTCTATAATAGTTCAAATTTTTTAAAGAGAAACTAAAACAGATTCTATGATGGTTTTTTCAAACAATCAAGCAATAGGTATCCAAGGTTTATGCCCCATGAAAATAATTCTTGAACATTTTGCATCCCCGTGTTGTACTTCCCAATTAATCAAACATAAGGTATTTTATCCGTAAGGATCTTCCATCCCCAATGTACACCTAACCGCATAATATGATGGGACTCTCAAGGCAAGATCATGCCGTTGGAGTGCTTTAGGGACAGGTGGACAGGAATTTTGGAGACAGATGATCTGGATTTTGGTGTCATTTTATCCCAATTTGAACACTTGAGAACACTCTTGAAAAGTTGAATGGATAACTCAAGCACAATAGTGTACCTTAATCATGATCTGGTTTATTCCAATTGACTATCATCAATTTATGTGAAACTCGTATACTATAACTGAATTGTTTCAAATACCATGTAATTTTTTAGTTCCAAGCATCAGAATCATGATCATTGACTAGCATCAATTTATGTGAAACTCGTATACTATAACTGAACTGTTTCAAATACCAAGTAATTTTTTAGTTCTAAACATCAGAATGAGCCTAAAAAATTCAAGTTTTGGTTTAGCATACTTACCATGGAGGAAGGTTGCAAGACTCCCATTAGGCATATGATCAAAAACAAGAAGCTTCTCTCCTTTGGGTCCCAAATAATATGCTCTGAGGGCTAACACATTCGGATGTCGAATCTTCCCAAGCGCCACAACCTCACTCTCAAACTCCTTCTGTCCCTTCGCGACTTTCTCTCTCAACCTCTTCACCGCGACCTCATTACCATCTTCCAAAGTCGCCTTGTACACCGTTCCATACGGGCTCTTCCCCATTATCTCCGCTGTCGCACACAACAGATCATCTGCTCCAAACACAAATGGCCCATCGAAATGGACTAATTTACCACCCGCTTCGCCACCAGACTCAACTTCAGCCCCAGTTTCAGAAGGGACTGCCTTCTCGCCTCCCCCTGCAGGCTGACCACCGGCTTTTTTCCCATTGTTTTTCTTTCCAATCACTTTTTTCTTGACCAGACAACAGACTAAAACACAGCAGAGTAGCAAAAGAACCACAAGGAGGACTCCAGCTGCTATAATAATTATGTCCTTCGTATTAAGGCCACGATGGCGATGATTTGAACCCTCTGGGGGTGGAGATGAAGGCAGCATTTGAGGCGGGGGAGAAGGACATGGACTCGAGGGACTATACCCACAAAGCTGCAAATTCCCGGCAAAAGAGCTTGAATTGAAGGTTTTGGAGAGGAGAGGAGGAACAATGCCAGAAAGATTGTTGTTGGAAACATTGAAATAAGTAAGGTTGGGTAATTTGGCAAGTGAATTTGGGATTCTGCTGGTGAAATTGTTGTTAGACAAATCAAGTACAGTGATGGTAGAGATATTCCCAATAGTTTCTGGAATCTGGCCATTGAACTGGTTGTTCTTCAAGATCAGTACTGAAAGGTTCTGTAATCTGTCAATGGTTTCTGGGATTTGCTTATTGAGGTGATTGGATCCAAGATTGAGTGAAACAAGAGAAGAGAGGTTGGTTAGACTTGCTGGGAAGCTCCCATTGATAGAATTTTCCGACAAATTGAGCATTTCAAGGCTACCCAACTTGCTCAAAGAAGATGGAATCATTCCAGAGAGCAAATTGTGATCAAGGGTCAAGATTTGAAGCTGATAAATTTTCTTCTCTGTGGTTTCACTTCCACCCCATGAATCTGGAACAGAGCCAGAGAGGTTGTTGTGTTGCAGAGCAAGGAAGGTTAGGGAAGAAGACTGAGTTAGGCTAACTGGGATTGAACCCATTATCGAATTGAAGCTCAGATTGAGTCTATACAACTTGGTAGAGTTTGCAAGACTCAGAGGAATCGTACCAGTGAGCTCGTTATTGCTGAGATCAAGAGTCTGGAGAACAGGACAGTGACCAATTGAAGGTGGGATTGAACCCGAAAGGCGATTATTGAAGAGATAAATTCCTCTGAGATTGGGTAAGAACCCGAGAGAGTAAGGGACCGTACCGGCTAAGACATTGTCGTGGAGGCTAATCCTTCGAAGGGCTTGAAGCTGGCCGATTCTCTCGGAGATTCGACCGCCTAAGCCCTTCCATGGAAGCTGGATAGCAATGACTTGGCCATTAACACATTTGATTCCGACCCAATCGCCAGAGCAAGCGCCGGAGCTACTGTCATTCCAGCTCTTTAAAACTCCTTTGAAATCGATGAGTTCATGTTTGATGGCATTGAGAGCTTGGAAATCTGATTGGGTTACAACCACACCATCCCAGTGCTGGGCTGAAGCAAATCCAGAGGCAAAAAACAGAAGCAGAGGAAACAAGAAAATCCACGAGTACTTGTCTCTCTTCTTACTTTCTTCCATAAATTGCAGAAACTGAAATGGGTATGTGGGTGATTGATGATTCATGAGCAAAATGTTGATGGTTGTGGAAACTGTAAGAAATGTTTTAGAACAAAACAAAAAAATTGAAAGAAAGAAAGAGAGATTGAGGAAGAATGGAACTTATGTCTCTCTTTCCTCCCTCTTTTGCTAATTGGTTTTTGCAGCGAAGGAAATCTAACATTTGAGTGTGAAATAGCAGATTAATAACACAGAGAGAGAGAGAGAGAGAGAGAGATAAGGAATCTAGGGAGTGAGAGGATAGGACTCAGAAGCGAGAGTTGTTGGTTTTGGTTAATGCCATTCCCAACGGCTAGTTTTTGTGAACAATGCATGTTACTGAACTGTTTCTCTTCACTTTGTTTGGAGGGAAGGGTACTTCTCCAACGGCTACATTATTTTATTATAATAATAAAGTATGTATTTTATCGTTTTTATATATGGTGGGGCTCAGTGGCCTTTAATTTTTCTGTCTAATACACCGTTTTTCCATACAAAATTGATTGTAATATTATTAAAAATAAAAATAAAACAAGAATTTTATTTTTCTGCCTAATACACAGTTTGCATTTCTTACTTACAAAAATTGATACCAAGTCTAATTACAGTAACGTTGTTAAAATGAAAAACCACAATCTTTGCCACTGTCAGCTTCCAAAAATGATCGTTAGCCTTGATCCAGTCTCGAACAGCATTTAGCAACAACGCCTACCGTTACACCTGAACAGTGTGTATTGTTTGATTAAAGTTATAATTTTAAAAAAATTGAAGTTTTAATACACATTTTTATATTCTTAGCTACTTCTCAATCAATGCTTCATATTATATATAGCAATTTTGGACATACGAGCAAGTTTGTTGACTTATTTAAATTACATCACCTTTTTATTTTTTTACACATTTTTTAAAAAAAAATCAATAAATTAACTTTTTTCTTAATTGCCAAAATAGGCCTACGTAGTTATAAAAAAAAAATAATAAATACTGGGAAATTCTAAAACGAATTGTTTTAAGCTTGGGTGATTTGAGTAAATAATTTTAAGTTAAATTCTGGTGCTGCTTTCTTTGTTTTCTGTAATAAAAAAATATGCAGCAAAATAAAACAATTTTAGAAGTGTCATCATCCTCCTGGCGCAAACCATTCACATAGCCAGATTTTACAGCTTTTAAACCCAGCAAGCAGCTGGTATCAACGTTCTGCCGCCAGTGGTAGATTCACTTTTTTTTTTTTTTTTTTTTTTTTTTTTTTTTTTTTTTCAAACAATAATCTACATCATAGACTCGTTTATTATTATTTAAAAAAAAAATATTTACACTGCGCAAACATTTCAATCCGAAATGATTCTTGTTAGGTTTTATTCTTGGCAACCCCGTTTGACAAAACTCATTTCAGTTGTATTTGTTTTCGCACCTTTTATTTCAGTGAGGCTGTGAGTTTATTAGATGCGAATCCAACCCAAATCGTGCCTTTGTCAATTTCCATGGATCAAAACCGAGGTTGTAAGAGGATCAAGTTTTCCAGATTTTCCAATTTTGGTCGTCCCGCTCGAGCGGGGAAAGTGACTCTTGAGCGGAGATTGTAAGCTCACAGCATCTCTGTTTCGCCTGAAAAAGTACTGGATGGTATGATTCGACGCTCGAGCGTGGAAACTTCCGCTCGAGCGTGAAGCCTATATGAATCACATAATTTTGAAGCCTCCGCTCGAGCAGAAATTACCACGCTCGAGCGGACCGCGCGAACACAGATTCTTGGATTTCTATAAGGAATTGGTTTTCTTCCAAAACTAGGATTACTTTGATTTTTTATAAGGAATTGGTTTTCTTCCAAAATTAGGATTACTTTGGTTTTCTATAAGTAGTTGGGTTTCTCCCAAAACTTGGACAAGTCCTCCAGATCTTCTTTTTGGATTCTAAGGTTTATACCTGGAGATATTTTGCTAGTTTTCTTTGATGTTTTGATTGAGTATTCAACTCATGGTTTAAAGAGTATACATCAAAGAATTATTTGTTTGTTCTACACAAAAGAGAGAGTTGTTCTTCGGTGGATTCTGAAGAATTTGAGCCTGAAACTTTGGTGGATTCCGGAGTGGCTCATCGTCAAGACAATTCCGAGGTGAAGACGGGGTTGGAAGAGACACATAGAGGTTGGTTCAATTCGAGCGTGGATTCGCTAGGTAATTGAGAGTATACATGTGTAATTCCTTTATATCTTCTTAGTGGATTGTTTTGTGGCTGTTGCCCGTGGTTTTTTATCACAATTAGAGGTGTCTAATTGTGGTTTTTTCACGTAAAATCGTTGTGTCATTTTGTCTTGATTGTTTGATTGGGATTGTTATATATTGCTTAAAATTGACACATAATCACAAATCAACATCTAGGGGATTTCTAGATTTTTCAATTGGTATCAGAGCAGGTCGTTCTATTTTTTTAAAAAAAATATATCTTTTAGAACGAGATCTTGTTTGATTTGTGATAATGGATTCAATTCGTGAGGGAAATTCTATAGTTCGACCACCCCTACTTGACGGATCCAATTATTCTTTTTGGAAAGCTCGGATGAGATCGTTTTTGAAATCTATAGATGAAAAAGTTTGGCAATCTGTCATGAATGGGAGGACCGAACCAACAATTACCGTTGATGGAGTAACTTTCCCCAAACCAATTGAAAAGTGGGATATAATTGATTACCAAAATAGTAGCTGGAATAGTAAAGCTATCAATTCTCTTTTTTGCGCTGTCACACCTGAAGAGTTTAGTCGTATTTGCAATTGTGAAGTTGCAAAAGAGGCTTGGGATATCTTACAAACTCTTCATGAGGGCACTCCTTCGGTGAAATGTTCAAAACTTCAAAGGCTCACATCTAGTTTCGAAAACCTTTCAATGAAAGATAGTGAGACCTTTGATGAATTTTATGCGAAGTTGAGTGACATTGTAAATTTCAGCTTCAATTTAGGTGAAAAAATACCAGAATCCAAAGTTATGGGAAAAATTTTGAGATCCTTACCCGATCGGCTCCAACTAAAAGTTACGGCTATTGAGGAGGCTCAAAATGTTGACAACCTCAAGCTGGATCAGTCAGTTGGAAATCTCCAAACTTATGAGGCAGATAGGAACTTCAAAAAGAAACAAAAAGATATTACTTTTAGTAGTGCTCATAGAGTTGGAGAGGATTCTGATGAGGATTGTAAGATAGATTCCAAGATTACGGCTGCTTTTGTTAAACAATTTAAAAAATCCTTTTTGAAAAAGAATTATAATCTTTTGGAATCTACTCATACTCATAAATCTAAAGGCAAAGATAAACTCAAAATTAATTCTATAGCCAAGAAGGAGAAAGGAAAGATATAAGGGAACTTTGAAAGAGTCCAATGCTATGAATGCCAAGGATGTGGCCACTTTGCTTCAGAATGCCCTACTCGTTTGAGGAAGAAGAAAGCCCTCGCTATTACTTGGGATGATGAATCAGAATCTGATGAAGATGAAAGTGACAACGAAGATCAAGGCGAAGAGAAACATAAACAATTCCTTGCTTTCATGGTGGCTTCCGAAACTGAAGGACGAGCAGAGTATCCGAAGAGGTCGGTTGAGAATGTCACTGATGATGAATCATCGGAGAGTGATGATGAGGAGCTTGTGCAAGCTTATGAAAAGTTGTATAAGGAATCTCTTAAGTTATCCAAATTAAATGACAAACTCACTATGAAACTCACAGCATGTGAAAGTGAGAATGTCAAACTAAAGGAAGAGATTTCCGAGGCTAGGATTGATGCCATCAAGATTTCTAATGATCGACAAGCCCTTTGCGCAAAACTCTTGACTTGTGAGACAGAGAGGAATGAGCTACAGCAAATCTATGCAACATATGAAGAAAAAATTGAAACTCTCGAGATGTCTCAAGTTGCTTTGGAAGAACTAATGATCAAGAAAGAGGAAGAACTCAAGTGTGCTTTGGCTACCATTGGTCTTTGGAACAAAGGATCAAAGACTTTGGATAATATCATTGGGTCTCAACAAATTTGTTCTGACAAGAATGGCATTGGCTTTGGTGGTAAGAAAGAGCAAAAACAAAATGCATCTACGTCTCATGATATAAGAACTCAAGGGCAAGGGGAACAAAAATTCAACATAAGATTGGACTTCTCAAACTTCCTAGAGTTGGTAAGGTAAAAAAAAAGAAGGTACACCCTATTTTTATTTGTCATCATTGTGGTGTGCATGGTCATATTCGCCCTTATTGTTATAAGTTGCATGTGAGAGTGTCTTTGCCTAGACCTAAAAATTGGAAGTTTGAAGCCAAGTCGAGACGGGTTCCTATTGCAGGGGAAAGGAACCACAACGTCAAGACACCATCCAAGAACTGCAATTCTCACAACTTTGTTCGTACTAAAGCAGTTTGGGTGAGAAAACTTGACTTGTGTTAATTCGTTTATTTGTTTTAGTTTTTGGGTTTTTGTGTGTTTTTTTATTTTTTTTTTTTTTGTCATTACATGTGTGCTTGTTCGTTTTTTGTCTTGCTTTGGTTAAGAAAAAAAATAAAAAATAAAATAAAAAAAACCCAAAAAGATTTTCTTAAGTGTAGTTTTGCAAGCTTAAAATTTTTGAGTGGTCCTTGATGCATATTGGAATTGATGAGAATATCCATTACATGTTAATATATGTGTGCTTTCTGTGGTCATTACTCGTTTTGGAGTGTGTGTTTTTTGATTAGTATGTCTCATTCTGTACACACTCTTGGATTAGCAAATTTTGGAGTCTTCCGCCTTAGTGATTATCTTTTCTCTATGGACTTCTGTCATTGATTTTTTGCGTTTCTAGAGGAATTGACCTATACTAGCATATCATGGGTGATGTTGAGTCTCTTAACCACCTACCATCTTTTTGCATCTCCATGGCTTTCCCCTCTATTCTTTGTAGTCCAGCCATGAGGAAAAGGCTACCTCAGAGTCACCAACCATGCCATCCTTATTATATCCATGCTTCTCTGGTTCGGTTTCCATACTCTTGAGCGTGTCAGCCGCCAATGAGTGCAAAAGAAAAAGAAAAAGAAAAAGAAAGAGAAGATGAAAAAATATGCAAAAGAAAGAAAAAATGTGCAAAAGAAAGAAAAAAAAAGGAAAATATTCATTGATTGTGGGGGAGCCTCCGCCTTTACTCACCAAATACCCCTTGATTCCTAGTGGTTTGACTTTCCTTTGTTGTGCTTAGATTCTCTTGACAGAGGTCCAACTTTCAGATCACTACTAGAATTG